TGTGTTTGTGTGTGTGTGTGTGTGTGTGTGTGTGTGTGTGTGCGTGTGTTCTGCTATACATGGTTTATGAGGACACTTCCAGTGTCCCCGTAAACCAAATTGCTTAAAAAAACATAAATTCAAAACTGTGGTTATACATATGGTAATCAATACACCAAAAAACATAGTTACTACACTTTTACTACAATAACATTTTAGTTAATTTTCATAAGAGTACCACTGTAGAGAAATCCAAATGTACCACTGTAGTAATCAAATTTGTCTTTTAGTACATATTATTAAAATATGTGTCTATCTACAGTTGAAATACACAGAGAGAATCCTCTCTGAGAATACAGTAAAGGTCAAGTTGTTCAGTCATGGCTGGGTGGGTCATCATAGTCGGGTGATTTACTCATGGGCCCCTGAGGAGCCTCCAGTCCATCAGCCAGTGGCTCCACTTCCTGTCTGAACACAACCGACCCGGAACGTTCATCTCAAGCACAGAAGAGCCACTTCACCACTTCACTTTTACATGACAATGATTGTACTAATGACAGAAAAGTTCTTCCTTTGCGTTTAAAAAAAAAAAAAAACGCAAACTTTTGCGAACAAAAGTTTAATGTACAGACTGCAATGTTTTCAAAATGATCCCATTCACATGGATCCACAAAAACAACTAAAAACGCTGTATTATGCATGCCAGGTCAGTAGTTGTCGATGTCACTTTGTAAAGAAACACTATGCGCCTGCACACATATGCATTCCTATCGACTAAACACGTAATATGTATGCGCATGACGTCACAGTTTTCTCAAATTCTGTTTTTTGTAGTTTATACGGAGTGTCTTACAGTGTGAAAAAACGCTGCAAACGATTCAATGCATTAGGTGAACTGTCTGAATGAATCAAACTGAATCGCAGACCATAATTTGCAAACTCAATGACAATGATTGTACTAATGACAGAAAAGTTCTTCCTTTGCGTTTAAAAAAAAAAAAAAACGCAAACTTTTGCGAACAAAAGTTTAATGTACAGACTGCAATGTTTTCAAAATGATCCCATTCACATGGATCCACAAAAACAACTAAAAACGCTGTATTATGCATGCCAGGTCAGTAGTTGTCGATGTCACTTTGTAAAGAAACACTATGCGCCTGCACACATATGCATTCCTATCGACTAAACACGTAATATGTATGCGCATGACGTCACAGTTTTCTCAAATTCTGTTTTTTGTAGTTTATACGGAGTGTCTTACAGTGTGAAAAAACGCTGCAAACGATTCAATGCATTAGGTGAACTGTCTGAATGAATCAAACTGAATCGCAGACCATAATTTGCAAACTCAATTGACTGAATAAATCAATAGTGATTCATTCAGTGCTTCTGCTTTCAAACAGAAAGCTGCTTGGTTTCTAGATTTGCCTAAGGTCCTTTCTTCAAAGTGAAGGTGCTTCATCCCTAGTGAAAAATAAATATACTAAAATGAATTTGAAATACATTTATTTCATGCTAAGTATACTACAAATGCATTTACATATTTATGTACTTAATATAAATACCCTGCAATTGTACTTTTAGTATACTAAACTGGTAAACTTAAAGTCTGCTAAATTGGAAAATCTATTTTTGTACTTTTTGCACTTTAATTGTGAGGAAGAAGTGCTGAAGTCCAGCTAAAGATGTGCTGAAGTATATTTGATTGTGCTAAAGTGGAACTATTGCAAGTATACTTTAGATACTCTTTAAATATATTGCATTCAAAGATTGATGTTATTCAAAGACCATACAATCCTCATCAGCAGTGACATTAAAACATATTTTAGGCGTAATATTAAGAAACGTGTGCACAATAAAGTGTACTTATATTTTTATATCAGAAAGCCTCGAGTGATATGTCAGTAAATATGTTCATAGATTTGAACTATACTTAGTATAAAATAAATATATTTTAAATATATTACTTTTTTATTAAGGGTTGTTTTGCAAATTTTTCAAAATCCAGTCATTTCAATATGAAAACTCAGCAACATCCACATAGTAATGTCCTGACCAATTAAAAGCCTAGTTATGCTATTAAGATTAATTTAATGTGACATGTTCTGTTCAGCTTCTCTGTAAATGCATAGAAATTAAATCTTTTTGGTTTAACATTACACTTACTCTCAGTACAATGCGTGTGAAGCCAGCCTTAATCTGTTCCAAGAAGTCATGTATATAAACTTACAGAACACACACATACACACACACACACACACACACACACACACACACAAACACCCACACACACACACACACATCCTAGAACATTCAGACTACTTGTGTAATAATTTCCCCTGTAGCATTTTGTGTGTGATTTTCATGATTACACAGTATCAGGGTGTCTAATGAATTAATTGTGTGTCTGTATGAATCTTGGATCTTGGTTTTTTACATTAATAATAATGGTTAAAAAAGAAAGAAATGTTTCATGGGCAGCAAATCAACATATTAAAATGATTTCTAAAGGATCATGTGACACTGAAGACTGGAGTAAAATACAGCTTTGCCATCACAGGAATAAATTACTTTTCAATATATATGCCGTGCAGAATACATATTGTAGCACAATAATGACACCATACATCCTGTCAAACTGAGAAAAAAGACCAAAACAAAAAAAACACACTTTTTCAAGCACCAAGTGCCTCGGCAGTCCTAAACATTATTGATCATTTCTAGGATGTTCTGGAGCACAAAAGTGTACAGATATTCCCACCTCATTCTGCAAAGAGCCAGAAGCTTTATCCTTGATGAATGGTACAATATCATTCAGCCCTAAAGGAAAGACTGAAGCTGTTGAAGGCAAATGATTGGGTCAGTCCTTACAAGAATAATTGTCAGGTTTTCGGTTCTTTTTTGTATAATATGGAGTCATCAGGCCAGTCTACAGTGAGCAGATGACTGTTATTGATTATATCCATTAGCAGCAATCAATAATCTGTGCATCATCATAGCAGTATGACATCATATATTGTCTAATGAGTGTGATTGATGCTTTGGTCCTTATAGACTTTAGTATCACATTTCTACAGCTTGTCCTTGTCCATCTACCAGATACAATAGATGTTCATATAAGAAACTACATGAAAGAATATGATGTTGGGCCCCCTACCGCACCAAACATACACTATATGTAATTTGGTTTGGTATATGAGTCTATCTGTTAGTCTAAAAACAAAGCTAATGAACGTACTAAAAATGTGCTCCAAAATTGTGGGTCAGCCTCAAAAAGCATATGAACTATTTTACCATAATAATCTTGTAAGATTAGCTAATAACATTGTTTCTGAACCTAATCATGTGTTGTATAATATATTTGAATTGTTGCCATCTAATCGACGATATAAGGTCCCAAGATACAGCCGAATTAATTTAAAGAATTCATTTGTACATCAAGCTGTATTAGCGCTGAATAACTCATATAAAAAGTAAATGTCCTTTTTTTTATGTATGTGTGTGAAAGCTCTGCATTCTGTGTTGTTTATGTGATAAAGTATTGTAACCTTGAGTGAACCTGCTGTAACGTAAGACAAATTTCAGACTCAGTCTGACAATAAAGTGTATTGTATGGTATCGTATCGTATATTGCCCAAAGTATCTTAATGTTTAAGCATATAATGCTATTCTAGGGAATTGTGTACTTCTAATTTTATACCAATAGTTTGAACAGGTCCCTTTTCTATTCTAACACAACAATGCCTCTGTGTATAAGGCAAGGTTAAAAAAAAAAAAAAGATTGATTCAGTCAGTGTGGAAGAACTTGACTGGTCTGCAGAAAGCCAAGTCTCTAATCCCAGCTGAACACCTCTGATGTGACTTTAAATGCAGACCTTGAGCCAAAAACTC